GTGTGTGTGTGTGTGTGTGGTACGCAGGCCTCTCACTGTTGTGGCCTCTCCAGTTGCGGAGCGCAGGCTCCGGATGCGCAGGCTCAGGGGCCATGGCTCACGGGCCCAGCCGCTCCGCGGCATGTGGGATCCTCCCGGACCGGGGCACAAACCCGTGTCCCCTGCATCGGCAGGCGGACTGTCGACCACTGCGCCACCAGGGAAGCCCGGATGTGTCTTTTTTTATGCCTTGACACCCGGCATATACTCGAATGAATGGACAGGCCGTGTCATTGAGTTGGAATCCCTAGAGCCTCAAGGCCTCAGGGGCCTCAGGCAGAGAGTCACCACGAGGACAGCCAAAAGTCACTCACAGGCTCCTCTCAAAAGGAAGTGGCTGTTGATCTCTTTCTAGCTGGATGTCTTTTCTAGTAAATTCCCAGGGCAATTTTCTGTCGGAAGGTCGGTGCAGCCTCTTTTCCCGATGATTGAATTTTCTTGGAGGGGAGTTATCCCTTCACACAGCCCAGCTTCCCTTCCCTAACTCTTAGAGGTCAGTCACCACTTCCCCCTCTGAGGTCTCCCACTTTGGGGGTGGGTTTCCTCGCCCGCTCCCCACAGACCTGCCAGCAGGAGCCCTGCGCATTCCCTCTCTGGTCCTCATTTTCCTCTCTGTAAATTGGGGACAGTGATATCTACGCTGGTGCCCCCGCAGTCAGCCAGATAGCGTGGAAGATAGTGTGTGTGCACCAGTGGCCTTAAACAGGTGAAGGCTGGCAGTTGGAGCCTCCGCTAAGGAACTGTGCTCCTGGGTCCTGGCCGCCTCACCTGTGAATCCCTCCAGCCCCAAGCATCTGTGACTCGACTTCTTGGCCCGCAGGCGGAGAACACAAAGAGGACTCGGGCTGGAGTTCGTCGGATGCCCGACGGGAAAGTGGCTCCGGGCCTCCCGCGGACAGCCTCTCGTCAGCCAGCCTGCCCTGGCCCCCAGGGAGCTCCCAGCTGGGCAGAGTGGGCAGCGGTGCCCAGGGCCCACGCTCCGTCTCCGTGTCTGCTCTGCCCACCTCGGACTCCCCAAATCCTGGCCCCGGCGAGGGCCTCGCGGACCCCTGTATCTCCCTGCACACCAGCGGCCGGCTGACGCCCCGCGCGCTGCCCAGCTTCATCACTCCACCGACCACGCCCCAGCTCCGCCGGCACACCAAGCTGAAGCCGCCCAGAACGCCGCCCCCGCCCAGCCGCAAGGTCTTCCAGCTGCTGCCCAGCTTCCCCACGCTCACCCGGAGCAAGTCCCACGAGTCTCAGCTGGGGAACCGCATCGACGAGGTCTCCCCGATGAGGTAAGTGTTCCTGCCAGGCAGGTGCTGAGTTTGCCGTCTACTGAAAGTTCTGATTACGGTTTTCTCATTGTAAAGGTAACACAGGCTCGATTGAAAACGGACAAAATCAGCCAACATAGAAGCTGCAACGTGAAAAGTGAAAGATGCTCCCATCTCTCAGTCCGTTCCCCAGACTACCTTATCAGTTTGGGCCGAATCCTACTAGATTTCTTTCTGAACACACACACACACACACACACACACACACACGCACGCACGCACGCAAAATGATACCATGTGTCAGCCAGGTTAGATTGGGTTATGCTGCAATAACAAATACCCCCAGATCTTTGGGTCTTAAAATAACAAAGATTTATTTCTTGGTCATGGTACCTGTCTGTCACGGTCAGCCTCATTTCAGATTCCAGGCTGGAACGTTGTCTAGAACATCCCACTGTGGCAGAGGAGAAAAGAACTTTCGATGTTACAACCGAGTAATTAAATGCTTTTTCCTGAAAGTTCCACTCACCATTGTTTGGCCCTACCCAAACAATGGAACCAAGAAATGTCATCCTCCCATGTGTGCAGAAGGGGGAATTAGAATATCATGCTGAAACTACTAATGATTATCAGTTACTATGAACTCTGTTCTGTACCCTATTTTTTTCAACTTACCTTTATTTCTGAGAACTTCATGTCAGTACCTCTTACTTATTTATAAAAAATTTTAATCTGTTTATTTTATAGGTAGTAACAGTCACATAGTCCAGTATCCAAAAGCTTTGCAGCTTGCGTAGAGCTTTGTAGAGTATAGAGTCACTCCCTACCATGTTTCCTTTTCCTTTCAGGAGCCAACCAGGTTAGCAGTTTTGTATATAATCTATAATTATTCAAACTACCTCATATTTTTAACTTTTTTTTTACCTCTTTCCAGTGTATAGTTTAACTAATTCCTCCCCTCTTGATGGACATTTAGGTCCTTTTGCTGTTACAAAAATCGCCCTTGTCAATAGACCCTTGTGGACAGGGCAGAAGGGAAGGAGGGAGTTTTCTTTGGGTGCCTCTTACCTTCTTGTACTTCTGAGGGTTGGAGACCTGGTCCCCTCTCCTGACATGGTCTTTTTTGGTCTTACGTGGGCTGGTTCCCCCATCCCAGTGCAGGCTATCTTGGGTCCCTTATGGGATGGAGCCTGGACATCTCTGATGGTTTTGAGTGTGTGTCACCCAAGGAGAGAAATTCACCTGTGACCTACCTGCCACTCTCGATCAGGCTGTCCTGCTGGGGCCTGGATCCTCCCTCCTCCCCCCACCCCCCACAAGGGCTGAGCCTTCCTCCCCCTCTGGATCTTCTCTCAGGAAGCACAGTGATAATGACCATGTGGACACATGGACATGGGTCCATCAGAGGGCATCTCAGTGGGCAAAACCCAGTGCATCTCTTTCCTCATTTTTTTCCCTTAAAAGAGTGTTAGGAGGGCTCTGGTCTCATCCCCAGCTCTGGGTGGAGAACAGAGCCTCGGGCAGATGTCACCACTTCCTCAGATCCCACCGTTGGTGAGCTGGGCCTTGGGCCCTGAGATTCTGAGTCAGGTCCCCACAAAACCACCAAAACTGGCACTGACATGGGTGCTCAGGCCACCCTGCTGCCCTCAATGAGCCCTGAGGGTGGACTGAGTGGCCTGGGTTCCTAGCTCTCTTCGTCCCTGGGACAGCGGCACCCCCGGGAGGCATCGCTCAGGGCACGTCCTGGCCTGGCCCTGCTTGGGGGCTGCCTCTCTGCTCTTACAACTGTCCTCCTCACCTCCTGCCCCAGCCACTTCCTCCCTGGCTGCCTGAGCCCCCCTCCTGCCTGGGCCGAGCACCCCTCCTCCCAGGGCTCTGGGCAGGGCTCCCACACCTACAGGCACATGACCTTGGGAGACTGTGAGCCTGTTTCCTCAGCTGTGAAATGGAGTGAACTCTAATTACCATGGAGGTGGCTGGCGAGGCTTAGAAAAGCTAATATATTAAAGTGCAGGGTGTAGCTCCATTGTCCACTGGTGGGGGGCCAGGGGAGCTACCTCTGGCCCTTCTCATTGAGGAAACGTTCCCTGGTCACTCAGCCAGCCTGGCCCCATGCCCCAGGGGCTCAAAGTCCTCATCCGAGTACCCTGCCTGCTCCCGCCCAAGGGCTGATGTTCTGGGAAACACCAGGCCAGTGCGGTGACATAATCCTACTTTCTGTCTTTTTTGTCTCCTGCAGGTTCGGTAAGAGTGATTCATTTTCATCCCCTCTGCCACTCAGGGTCCTGTTTGTGTCGCTGTCCCCATCAAGGGTGGATTTCTTCGACCCTCTCTTAGTCTGCTGGCTTTTCCATGGTCCAGAAGCAGAGATGCTGGGCAGGAAAATAGCTCTAGGACAGGGAACCTTCAGATGACGAGGTGGCCCGGCCCAGCCCAGCCAGCAGCCGCTCTGAGAAGCTGAGACCTTGAGAGCGTCACAGTCCGCGGACAGCCCTATGGGGGGGCCCCACTTGTACCTTGCTGCCCCCCCGCTAAGGTGACCTCTGGCAGGGAGTGTTTACCAGCTGGGCTGCCGTGGTGACGCCTCGCTCCCAGGAGAGAGGCACTGTCTGTCTGGTGTACGTGCGCGGTAGCCATACGCAGAGCCTAGCTGACGTCTTGGGACCCCTCTGTTCAGGAGAGGAACTTCCCTGGAGGCAGGAATGTGGTCGGCTCTGAATGAGGCCCTGAGAGATCGGAGGGTGCCAATATCCCCTTGGGAGGGGATGACGATGCCTAGGCAACCTACCTCTGGGTTGAGAGCTGGCTCTTGCGCGTGGCTGTGCTGTGGGGCGTCCCTCTCCAGAGTCGAAGTAGACGGAAGTGACCTCTGGGGGTCTCTGCTTTCGATGGTCTCAGTGGAAATGCAGAGACGTCTGGCTTTTGCCTGAGCAAAATAGCAGCTTCTTTTTGTACTGTCCTGAGCTGGCTAAGCAGAGTGATGAGGCTGTCAGCAGGGTCTTAGACATGCAGAGGGGCAGTGACTTTGCCAGAATGGATCTGACTGCAGGACCACCAGGGTGAGAGAGGAGGGAGGGGGCACTTCCCTGTCCCCAGGGCACAGGCAGAAACTCCCAGGGCCCTTCACAGAGGCTTGGAGGAGAATCCAGCACTTGCATCCCTAGGACAGCCTGGCCCTGCCATCTTCCCAGTTGCTATAGTAATTCAGGGACCATAGCAGTGAGGCTGCTTCCCCAGTTTTCCAGAAAGGCAGGACGAGGCCTTCAGGACCAGTATTTCATCTTCATCAGGGACAGCCTCATCTCACCTCCCTCCTATCTATCCCAGGCCTGTGGCAGACATTACAAATCAATCGTAGGTTGCATTCAGAGATAGATGATTAAAATCTCATTTTCTCATAGTCTGTTTCTCCTGGACTGGCAACCTAACCCCTTTTAGACCCATGTGCTTTGATGACTTTGGCTACTGACTGGGGTAGGGTGGCCCCCACCCCCAGGACGGAGTTGGGAAGAGGCAGCCCCATGGCAGGTGTGCTGGCAAGATTGTGGGTTCAACTATCAGGGGGTGGCAGAGGCCTTTTGGTTCCGATCAGACTCCCCTTGGTGTAGGAGGAAAAGTCAGTACCTCCATCACTCCCTTCTCCTGTGGCTGGGTGTGTGGTACTTGGCCTTGAGTGAACCACACTTATTGAGCACCAGCTGTGTGCCAGGCCAGCATGGGGTGGAAGGCTGACTCAGAGGGTATGAGATGGCCACAGATCACTGGAGCACTGTGTTCCTGACCTTTCTGGGTCACAGATCTATTTGATAACTGGATAAAAGTGTAGACTCTCTTTCTAGGGGAAAGCCCACATCATTCCGCTTACCAGTCCAGAGGGTTCCCAGAGCCCCTGAGGGTTCCCATCCATGGGCTCAGTTAAGAACCCCTGCTCTAGGAGGAGATAGGCAGTGTTGAGTATGGGCAGAAGGGAGGGTGGGGGGAGTGGGGGTGCCCTGGTGGAGGAGGGGAGATGGGGTTAGACATGTGGGCTGCTGGTGGATGGACAGATTGCTCCCAGCTTCTCTTCTGCCTGACCTATTATACCACGAACACCAGGGATGCCTGTTCTTATGAGGAAGCCAGAATTGGAGAGAGAGGCCAGGGTGCACTCTAGGAAGGCAGGCAAAGCTCGTGGCCTGAGACTTCCCCAAAGGCTCAGACTGAGCGCCCGGCTGGGGCTGGACCACGTGGGAGCAGGTAAAGCTTCACCTCGTCTTCCCTCTACCTGCCGGGCTCTGGCATTTGGTGGCTCTCGGAGCAAAATTCCCAAGGTGCTTGTGACTGGAAAGCTAGGTGTGCCACATGGCCGACCAGCCTCAAACCCTCTGCCAAGGGTCAGGCAGCTTCTACTCGCTTACCAAGAAGCAACCAGAATTGGTGGCCTGTGGGTGCATCCACAAGGAAGTGCAAGAGACGGGGGAGGGGGGGGGGGGGGG